CTTAGATCACGATAACCGACCCTTCGTGTAAATGACCTAAAAGAACTACACACATGCACCATCTGCAACGCGATCAACTGCAGAATGAACCTAAAAACAATAACATCGAGAAAACTATGAAACGAAAGACAATATAAAATATACCTTTTAATACTTTCAGTGTCTTCATGTTCCTTCCCAAGTTGCCCTGTCCCATAGCCATCTGTAGTCACTTCGTGGTCTACTAATACTTTTCTTTCGTCGTTCTCAGACATTTTGTTCGCTGTTGGCTTTCCACCGCGTACATGTGCATTACGTTGTTGTAGCTACACGATGTTGGTCGCGACTCATCAAGTTTTGATACTCAAGTCAGGTGGCAGAGCGTTAAAATGCCCGGATGTGTTGTGACGTCACCTTCTAAATTTAGGGACACGGTCATTTCTCTCAATACCGTCGTACTCAGGGTAACAACAAGTTTTTAAACATTGCCGATTTTTGCTTGCCACAATAAATTAGCAAAAAAAAAGAAAATATTTTGTGGCCTAAGACTAACTGCGCCATCAACATATAATGGTAACCTCTGATCACGACGGCATCACAACAACTGTTACAGTTCGAAATGGCATAAATTAAAACAATTGTAAAAAATTTCAACAATTTAAGATTAATTGTATACAAGATTTTGAAGGCACTCGGCGCTGAGATTCTTTGCCTAAGTCATAAATGAGTGTCCGGGTGAGTGTCATGTAACCCCTTGCAAGTTTTGGGTCAACGACCTTTGAGCGAAGCATGACGCGTGTAATAGAAATAGGCCATATCCAACAAGAGAGCTGCATGTCTCAATTACGACAGAAGACACAGTAAACACAATCCCCAATGCCCAGATTTTATCATCGCATATATAAATTGGGTTAATCCAGATTTACGAAAAATGTTTATTCAGATATCAAGACACTCCTTTGACATATTGACATCTTTGCCATGTAACACACATTGTCAAGTTCGACTCGACGCCACGAATTTTCTGTTTATGGTACGTACCTTTTAACATTGTTGACGTGCTGACGCTTTGGATACAAATATTCGATTCGATTTGTTACACTAACCATGATGCCGAAATGTTGTCATCCTTTGTCCGACTGTACTGCCGAAAAAAACTAATTATCGAATTACATGTCAACAGTGTACCTCTACTGAATATTGGCCAAATATCGAAGAAACCGGTTACATGTGACGACATATTTCGTGATGTTATTTGATCTGTGTATCGAATAGTTACTATAACTACCCGGTAAATAGACGAGTTGTAGAATTCAGTATCACGTCATATTTCTTGTGCGATAACATCATATCATCTTCTGTCTTGTTTGTGCTGTCAATCTAGATTCCATTTACAGTCTCTGTCCCTAGTGTACGTAATTGACGTTTCTGTTATACTGCCTTCATAGTATTATACTTCGACAAGCGGCTCGCCACCGCCATTCGGGATGGGTGATCGTCCTATATTTATTTCGGCATTCCCATGATGTATCCTTGGGAGGAAAAGATGTATAATAATCAGGTTATTACTAGGATACCGAAATGTATGCACTCTCAGAGAGTACGTCGTCGCATCGACCCCCGCTCCGCCACAGGGGGATCTCTGAATAAAATATGGTACGCAAGCTGAAGTAAAAAAAAACTCGTAAAAGGGGTTTATTTAGTTATTTGACGCGTATACGCGTGTACCGTTTGTAACATTTGTAGGCGTGTGCATCGAAAAGTAGAAAACTATTGGAAACAAACAAATCATTCCGCTTTCTTCGAACTATTTTTGTAATCAAGTACGCAATCTAGGTTAATTTTAACGAAGTTCAAACAATGTTTCAATTCTTGATCCTTTAATTTTACAGTCCCTTTTTATCAAAATTGCCCAGTAGTTGGACTGTCATTCTGCGCCATCGAAAAGCAACGTAATGTTGTTTTATATGGCGCAATCTAGGTCTAACGTTATGTAGTTGAAACGATGTTTCGCTTCATTGTACTTAAATCTACCGGCCAATTCTTTTTGTATTTCATCATGCGATTTTATGAAGTTTATAAACACAAATTTCCAGATATGAAATTGAACACATTTGTGACGACTTTTGGTAAGTCTGATATTTTTCTGACTTTGTAAAGTGTCCTATTTTTGTCATTCAAGAAGCCACAATTGAATAAATGTTATTGAAATTATCCAATAGGCGCCTGATGATGCAGTGCTTCTACACAAGTGTCTGGGCTTTAAGTGGTTCTTTAGATTTGTCACACTAATTGTAGCTTTCAATGAAAAATACTTGTGGAATCGTGGCAACTGTTGCTGGTGAAGTCATTGAAAATGTAAAGAAATTTCAGAACGTAGACCATATGCGACTACAACAAGTAGTCCTTTATTCAAGCCAGAACGTCAAGCAACCACAGCATGTCTTGGACAGATTACTAAGTAATGTAGATAAGTGCGCATCAAATTTACTAAAGATTATCTACATAGGAAAAACAAATACACGTAAGTTGTTAGGCAATGATATATATTTTAAGAGAATGGTTGAAGTAAGAGTTAAAAAGCCATTAAAAAAAGCCAAACAAGTTCTCTGTCATCGTGATCTTTGAAAACAAACGACCACCATTAATATTGTAAGATTGCGAGAAGCTCATATTTGAAGTCAATACGAAGCCACTTATAAGATTGTACGTGATTGGCTACCCAATCCAGAGAGTTTGACCAATCACAGAGGAATTTGTTTGTGTGTAGGCTTCTTATTGACGTACCAAATTCCGCCTTGTATGTCATCTTCGTCTCAACTATAACCATGGAGACAACCCAGTGATCACCGGACGATTCTGTGCCATTTGATATTGCAAGTACAAAATATATTCATGTTTCTGTTTGAGTTAGTAATTAAAACTTAAGTTTAAATGCTGACCCTAAGCAAACTAAACGGGGTACAAAAAAACAGAGAAATATTTCCTGCCATGTAGCAAAAACAAATATTGGGAATAAACGGTCTGCTGAAAGAATAAAGTAAACACCTGACCATATTTATCCATATAAATGATTTGACATGTAATAACGTGCCATGTCACCAACAATAACCATGAATCAGTATTCGGTCTCTGTAACAAGATATTTTAGGTTTGAGAAAAAATGGAAACATATATCTGTATGAAAGTTCTATGAACCATAATATTCGCAATATTAAGCTTGTCATGTGTGGAAATACAAGATTGACCTGAATAATTACGTCAAGTAACGCTGATTTGATATAATAATAAACACGTCAACTAACGCTGATTTAATATAATAATAATGCGTGAACTATCGCTGATTTAATATAATAATAATTCGTGAACTATCGCTGATTTTATATAATAATAATTCGTGAACTATCGCTGATTTAATATAATAATTCGTGAACTATCGCTGATTTAATATAATAATAATACGTTAACTAACGCTGATTTAATATAATAATAATGCGTGAACTATCGCTGATTTAATATAATAATAATTCGTGAACTATCGCTGATTTTATATAATAATAATTCGTGAACTATCGCTGATTTAATATAATAATTCGTGAACTATCGCTGATTTAATATAATAATTCGTGAACTATCGCTGATTTAATATAATAATTCGTGAACTATCGCTGATTTAATATAATAATTCGTGAACTATCGCTGATTTTATATAATAATAATACGTTAACTAACGCTGATTTAATATAATAATAATTCGTGAACTATCGCTGATTTAATATAATAATTCGTGAACTATCGCTGATTTAATATAATAATAATACGTTAACTAACGCTGATTTGATATAATAATAAGGTACACGCCCAGCGATCAGTCGCCCCAGGCAACATCAACACGCATCGTTGACTTTCATTAGCTTTAACAACAAAATTAAATATCTGATCGAAATGAAATTTCTACCACAAGTCCGTGATCCACAACTAAATCGATGTATGGAAAAAAATATAGGCCAACGCAAATAATTTCGTAAAAATACTATATTATGTTGGAAATTAGGTTCCGAACAGCCGAACCCAGGCACCAGCACACACATTAGAACATGGTCTATCGATGTTTGGAAGTGAATCAGCGAAAATAATTCTTAAATAACTCTAAAAACACCAGAAAACATGGACTGGAAACCTTAGTTGAGCCTGGATACCAAAATAAATCCAGCTCAACATTCGAGGTACTGAACTGAACACCAGTTACCATGACTGCCCGTCACAACAGGGCATCACTGTGTATGAAAACAAATATACTATATTTTAACATTTGTTCTTATTTTGCATTATTATCAGTTGATGGTGTACAGCGTCTACTTACAATATCCAACTATCAGTTGATGGTGTACAGCGTCTACTTACAATATCCAACTATCAGTTGATGGTGTACAGCGTCTACTTACAATATCCAACTATCAGTTCATGGTGTACAGCGTCTACTTACAATATCCAACTATCAGTTCATGGTGTAAAGCGTCTACTTACAATATCCAACTATCAGTTCATGGTGTACAGCGTCTACTTACAATATCCAACTATCAGTTCATGGTGTACAGCGTCTACTCACAATATCCAACTATCAGTTGATGGTGTACAGCGTCTACTTACAATATCCAACTATCAGTTGATGGTGTACAGCGTCTACTTACAATATCCAACTATCAGTTCATGGTGTACAGCGTCTACTTGCAATATACCAAAATGGTATTTGTTGGCACATTAGGAAAATTCTTTCATATTATTTATATTGGGTGTATGGGATCTATGGAGATGATTTTTTGTTTTAAAATTTACCCACAACAAAATTTGTCAGCCACTCACGGGATATTATATAGGCCACATCACATCAGATAGTATTATCGTAGTAGTTGTTTTGCTATGCTATACAATTGCCATGATATTCACAGGGTAACTAGTGTACCGGGTAGTGTGAAAATTTGCTCTATTGGACATTACAAATAGAGAAAGCACATCTGAACCAAGTCATACAACTATTTGTTGTATGCTGCAATATTATTTACAAAAACACTTCTAGCAAGGCAAATATATATGCTCTACCAGAAGTGGATGGGCTTGCGTACCTTGTTGGGTAAATATGCTTGTATTTCTTGACCATTCAAGAATTTTGGGCTTAAAATGTGCTTGCTTGTATTAGAAATGTGCTTCTAGTAGAGCAAATTGTATTATTTATTTATTCATTTATTTATCATTGTTAAATTTTGTGTTACAATAGTTCTCTTTCTGGAGGATGTGGTGACCATGAAAAGGGCCGCTTTGTTTGTGTGGGAAATTCCACATATTGGATTAGATATCTGGGCTTCAGTGGACTAAACTGGACTGGACTTTAT